TAGGTTGACACTGCAAGTAAACACATTAGATAGTAATAGTAATAGCAAATTGCATTTCAGAAAGGAATTACTGTAGCATAAACAACTGCAGAATGCAAAAAACCTTCAGTACTGAAACAAATAAATTATTTTTATTTAGACATTTGAAATGTTTGAAATTCAGTTTAAAATTAAGGCAAAGGTGTCAGATCTTTCAAGTGACCTCTTTAGGTTTCCCCAAACTAATATGTTGTGTACATTTCTCATACCTACCTTTCAATTATGCTTTGTGCTGTACCCATCTCATCCTCCTCAATTTGATCATCCTAATAATCTAGTAAAGAGTAAAAATTATGAAGCTCATTTTGCAATTTCTCTTAGCCTCCTGTAACTTCAGCTTATGTCCACATTCTCCTCAGCACTGTTCTAAAACACCCACAACCTGTGTTCTTCCCTTAATGTGAGGTACAAAGTTTCACACCTGTACAAGAAAATGTGTTATATTCAAGCATTATGTTGTGTCTGTATCACATTTTAAAGTAAAGTAAAGACATATTAACAATGCTCACTGTTATATACAGTACAGTTTACATGTTATTAATAGCTGCTTGATGAGTGTATTCCTAGGTAAGACAAAATGTGTTTATCAGAGAACTGGAAACAACACACACACTTTCACCTTTGCCCTGTGCCAAAATATTTTAATTCACAGTAAACTGATATTCTCTGATTAACTCATTTAAATATTTTTACATACACTTGTATTTTATGTGCAGCAGACAATTTTACTATATTCTACAATGTTAAAGCATAGAAAAGGGAGAAGTATTAGGTTTCTCATTCTTCTGACTTCATATTGGCGTTGTTTTAGGACACTGGAGTGTATGATGAACCCGCAGATGACAGTGGGACACACCTGCCAGCCCCACGAGTGAGCAAAGCTCAAAGGAGACGTGACAAGAAAGTCATTCGAGAGAAAGAGCGAGAGTGTATGATTCTGGCTGAGGAAGCAGAGAATATACGCGGGCCTCGGAATGTGGAGATACAAAAAATAAAGCAGATTCTGAAAGAACGTAATCTAATGATCAAAGAGATTCCTTCAGATGGAAACTGGTATGGATTATAAAATTTGATGATGTGATTCATGAATCTGTATCCTTATGAAATTTGCATAAAAAGTGCCTATTCCTCTTTACCAGTGTCAGAGGAATTTATTATAAGTCTCTAAAATTGCCTCTTGTAAATACAATAAACATGAAGCAATTACTAAAATATAGAGGTAAACAATAAGCTTCACACCCTGGCTGTTTTGCCTCTGGGTGAAAGGGCCTCCAGTACCTATTGGATAGGATGTTGATGGGCTCCAGAGCCAGTCTGGAGATGGAGAATAAGAGAAAAATCTTTTGTCTGCACCCAGTGATTCAGTCTGAAGCCAGTCACTATTCTGACTGAGCAGCCTTTGCCTCACAGAATGCTGTATTTAACTTTACTTGATTTGAACTTCATTTTTCTTGTTATTAATATTTCTTAATTCAGAAATCAACTCATTACATCAGAACTGGTACATTGTTCCAGCTTGTACTGTGCAATAGATGACCAGCTAAAACTTCATGGTGATGATGGCCTGGGGACAGAAAGTTTGCGTAAAATGACTGGCCAGTATTTGAAGGAACATAAATCTGATTTCTTCCCATTCATAAGTCATCCTGATACAGGAGACCAGCTTACTGATGAACAGTATGAAGACTACTGTGATGAAGTGATCTACACATCTGCATGGGGTGGGGAACTAGAGGTCAGTTGAAACATTATATTCATTATGTATAATAACCAGAAATAATATTACCATTTAGAAGGGTTTTTTTGTGCAGCATACTTAGATCCTTCATTCAGTAAACATATGCACAATCTATAAATGTAGATTCTATTTTGTAAATATTCTAACATAAAAAAACTATTATCTTATCTTGTACAGTGCAGTGTTTGTATAAGATGGAAATTTTTGTTTCAGTTTTATAATACGTTTTCCATTCCCAACCGTGCCAGCTACACAATGAAATACTGTTACAATAAACTCCAGAAGACCCCAGAAATTATCAGTAAATTTTACTACAGTGCTAGTGAGAGTTCTATCAGATTTTACAATAATATTATGTATGCACTTAGAAAATTAACTTGAAACGAACATGCACAAAATGAAATAAAAACAAGTCAGGAACAGCTAGATTCCTTTGTTTTTATTTCCAGTTACTTATGCTTTATCTTGTGTGAATGTGGCATGTTATAAGCACAGTTGTTTGATATCTGACCATGTAAGGAAGTATAAAGTTAAATTATAAAGACAAGACTGGAAACATTTAAATTTTTAAATAATTACGGTGAACAATGTGCATGAGTGAACAGACACCTATAGAGGTACATTTATCACTCATTCAGAAGCTTGAACTTGACACTGATTTTCATTAATGAATTTTACTGCAATAAATTAAATATTAATGAGTTTTTGTTTTTACATTTTATTTAATCCACTTTAAGAGGATGAAACTGAATTTATAAACTAATTATTTTTTTCCAAAAATTATCTTAATTTTCTTTTGCTGTGGCACATTCCCAGTCATGATGCTGTTTCTCCCTACATATGACCAATCTGTGCCTTTAAGGGGTATATTTTATATATTTTGTACATAATTCTACTGAAGTGGATGGTTTTACTCTTTGTTGCTTGTTTTATTTTTCAGTCACCTATGAAACTATAAGTATTGTGTAATTTGTAACATATGTTTAAATTTTACTGCTGAAATAGTTACGAGCCCTCTCACACATCTTGAAATGTTGCATTGAAGTCATTCAGGCTACGGGTCCATCTGTACTAGTCGGTGAGGAGTACCGAGACAAAAGGCAAGCTACTCTTACATTCCACAGACATATGTATGGTCTTGGAGAACATTACAACTCAGTTAAACCCTACGTAGATGAAGATAGAGAAGATACTGAAGATTTATAGGTGCAATGGTAAGTAATTGGCAGTTTTTTAAAATTTAGTATTATTACAATGTTCTTCAAAGAGTGTATGTATCCTGTCCTACCATAAGAAAATATTTTAATACTTATCACAGGACCTGTCAAAAAGTGCCCAGCCAAATGCTTGTTCCTGTCAGTGCACAAACTGGGTGTAATGTAGTTAATTTTAAAAATAAATATCTTAGCATCAAATTACATATGACTAGGAAACAATATTAATGAAAGTGAGATTCTTTAAACTGATATTAATAAAACTATATAAGAAATCTGACATAATGATGAAAGGTAGATATAATGTATTTGTAAAAATTGTTTGTTTTAGCTTGAGTCTGGATGCCTAGAAGTCTCCATTTATAATTCAATGGACTGGGGATAACAGTCCTTGGTATCTGACTTTGATGGCTAGTACAAGCCTTTACCTGCTTCATCATCAGGTATTACCTTACCCCTAGAACAGACAAGCTGTACTGTACTGTCATAATTAATACTTTGGTTTGTACAGAATTCATTATCTTACAGTTGAAAACTAAGTTACACTGCTGACTCTCAAAACTCATGCACAGTTTGTTACTGCATTGGTACCTTTAAGTTACGATCTTGTTGCCTGAAGTTTAAAAATTAGAAATGGATGAACCTCGACATAATTAAACAATTTTTAGAAGGCAAAAATGTCTTCAATTATGAAATTGATTCACTTTTTGTACCATATTGCAAACTTGGAACATGAAATCTTGAACAAGATAATGTACAATATGCTTACATAAATTAACAAACCTAAAGAACAGATGTTCCACAGATTTTCTGTTTTAAAATAGTATACTCTGAAGATCTTATTTTGTTTCCACATGATCATTCACAAAAGTTTAAGTGGGAGGAACCTGTAAACATGAAGGTGAACACCTATTTATTTAACTTGTAATAAAACTTGCACATATGTTTGTTAAATTGTGTTGTTCTTGTGATGGCTGCAGCAATGGTTAGCACTCCATATACAGGAGGTCCCAGGTTCAAATCTCAACCTACAGACCAGTTTTCCTGAGGTCCTTTGTGATTTTGCTGTCCCTTCAGGCAGATTCCAGAACTGTATTTCAAATTCAGCCATGACTGCTTATTTCCAATTCATTGTTCAGCCTTATTAAGGATGATAAACTAATTTTTTTAAAGAACTGTTGCTT